GTTATCATTGAGTTCTTTAAATCTCAACTGACTTATACAATTATTGTAGATGTATATGATAATGAAAGATAACATATAAAATATAATATAAAATTAAATGCGATTTAATAGTTGAATTCATGAGTCAATTAAAACTAGACTACCATCGAAAACCTGGAAGCACTGAACAGCCGTTTCGTCTTAGTATAGGACTCCTCATCAATGAGCATCCACGATCCCTCGCCGCGAGATTCGAACCCAGGACCTCCCGGTTTCGCTCTCGAACGCTTAAGCTGAAGATCATTAAGCCGGCATCCGATCGTGTTAATGTCTAACTTCAATGAAATTGAGCGATACATCCACCAATGTCTTCAGTGAGTTACTATCTCACAACAGACCTGGTTGAACTCCACTAGTCACTGCTTCTCACTAGAAATCCAGGAAATATCTCTTGAAGTCAGTAACTAGTTAGCACATGATCATTATCAGAAAGGGTTTTATGGAGATTTCAGTATTTGCATGGTTGAAATCATGAATCAATTGAAGCTAGACCATCATGAAAAACTTGAAGTTAGACATTAACACCATCGAATACCGACTCAGTAGTCTATCGGTTGAGTGCTCTGGCATGAGACTGTTAGATCCTGGATTCGAATCTCGTGAGTGCGGGATCTTGAATGTGTACTTCTAAAGAGTCCCATAATAGGACGAAACGGCCGTTCAGTGTTTCCAGGTTTCTCATGGTGATCTAGCTGGAATCGACTCATGAATTCAACTATTCAGTTAATGTAATCTTCACAAAACTCCCCTTCTGATAAATACGATTTAGTTATTTTTCATTTAAGCCATCAAAAAATAATTAAAGTTTTTTTTTCTTAAGATTTAATTTACTCAATAGATAAATAACAATAAAACTATACACAAAAGTATCATTGTTTATTGACCGGCAACTTATTCAATCATTTGAAGAGAAAAAAAAGGAGAAAGAAAGAAAAAAGAGAAAAAGAAAAAAAAAAGAAAAAAAGAAAATCAAACCTGCAAAAAAAACTATCTTAATACCAAAAAAAAAATAATAAATAATCGAATTCATTCAATCATATCATTGAATGAATTGATCCAATTAATAATTAAATGAAATGAACTGTATTCTAATAAGACTATTAGATAACTCATTAATGACTTAATCAACCATCTTATACAATGAATGAGAACTATTCAATTATATCATTTGGTGGTATTGTTTACTTATATCTTCACATTGTTATTTAGAACTGTAATTGATCAGTCTCCTCGTGGTATATATGCATCCTGTTCAGATTGACTTGATATTGTTTGAAGTCAGTTTAACGCATGTTTCGTCCTATTTGAGACTCATCAGCTAGATGTACCTGCATCACAGACATTTTGATGTTGACTCTAAGACTTCAACCCAATATCGTTCACTTTAAACGATATCACTTTATCCACTTAAATATTGAGTCCTGATAGTCAATTGCTTGTACAATGGGGTGAAGTTTAAATTCACTTGGTATTGTTTACTTATATCTTCACATTGTTATTTAGAACTGTAATTGATCAGCCTCTCTCTCTTATTGGCATATGTGTATCCTGTACAGACTGCCTCGATATTGCTTTGTAGCTGTAAATAATTTCCCCAAAATCAATAGCATTATAAATGTTCGACATTGGATGCTGACTACATCAGTTTTAGTGAACTCGTTTAGCTGAAGGCGCTTGGTTATGCATACGTACTAGATCACTTTACAGAACGGTGCGGGAAACATATCCTACGATTATTAGCTAGATTAGATCAGTCACTTCTTGATATATTGATAACGCATTAAATATATCTTCCAACCTTTTCGCTTTTGAATTCTGATTTTAACTAAGTGGGCGCGATTCGATTATAGAATGTGTTACTGGCAAAGAATTGTCAAACTATAATGCTGGTGGTATTTTCAGCTTGATGTCATAAGCTTTATAAGTAAATATGGATACTGGTTAGTAGTGGAATCCAGTTTAACGCACGTTTTATCCTATTTGGGACTCGTCAGCTAGATGTACCTGCATCACAGACATGTTGATGTTCACTCTGAGACTTGAACGCAGTACCTTTCGCTTCAAACGCCATCACAGATGATGTGATGACGCTTGAAGTAGGCGGCATTAAATTTAAAACCTGGATTAAAACTTAACTCTGACATGTAGGTACATTCAGTTGACAAGTTCAAAAGACGAAGAACCAGGGATTCTGTATTTCATTGTTAACATACACTGGATTCTATTAATAGAGATAATTCATCTATTTTAAACAAAGAAAAAAAACAATATCATGGCAATACGTACAGTATGCATATATAATCAATTGTAACCCTAAACAACAATGGAAAGATACATGCAAACAACACTAAGTGAATTTCAATTTCACTCCATTTCACAAGCAATTGACTATCAGAACACAGTAGCTAAATGAATAAAGTGATGGTGTTTGAAGCGAACAGTACTGGGTTCGAGTCTCAGAATGAACATCAACTCTGAGATTCAGATTCATCCATCTAACGAGTCCAAAATAGGACGAAACACACATCCTATACTCCACTGCTTTCCCCTATCCATCTTTACTTATTTAAAAAAATACAAACCGGAAACTAAAAAAAAAGTCAATAAACAAAAGAAACAACATTAATTCATTTCAAAGGTTATTCAATCACCATCATCACCATCCTCATCATCATCGTTATCACATTTAAACAAAGAATAACTAGTTAATTAGTTGTTGTTGTTGTTGTTTTCTTTACTCTTTCTGTTTCTTATCACCTCACCTTTATTGTTTCCCTGTTTTGTTTTATTTTATTTTTTCAAAGTTCAATGAAAACATATCATTAACAGTTAATTAATTACAATGAAATTATAACATTTTGTTCCCCTTTCTCTAGTAATTATTAATTATATTTTTCCCTCCCTCCCTCCCTCCCTCCCTCCCCCTCCCTTCTTTTTTTTTTTTACTTTTTACAGTCTCTACCGTAACCCCCTCCCTCCATTCTGACAATATTTATATCTTTAAAAATAAATAAAAAATAACAAAAAAAAGAAACCCAGTAATTTATGTCTCTAAGGTCAAAATGTTCATTTACTGAAAAAGTTCAACTTTCAATATTTTACCTTTTTTAAAAAAATAATAATTTATATAAAACAAAATAATTATTTATTAAAGTGTCAATTTTGTCTAAGGGGGGAAGGGGGATTTATGAGTAGGGGGGATTCATGAGAGGGTGGAGGGGGTTAAATTTTCATTAGTTTACACATTTATAGATTGATATGAGAATAGAATCATTAACATGATAAATATATTAAATTCACTTAGTATTGTTTGTTTGAATCTTCCCATTGAGGGTTTTAGGACTGCAACTGGTCAGTCTCTAATTGGCATATGTGTATACTGTGTGTATTGCCTCGATATAGCCATAGTTCACAAGCATGATAAGCAAAGATGAATAGTGGCTAGCAGTGGAATCCAGTTTGACGCGCGTTTCATCCTATTTGGGACTCATAAGCTGGATGTACCCGCAACCTAAATAGGACGAAACGCGCGTCAAACTGGATTCTACTGCTAGCCACTATCCATCTCTGCTTACCATGATAAATATATTGTTTTAATTAGTTGAAATCATACCAAATATACATCAGTCTACTTCTCATAAAATAATGATAATAATTAAGATGTACCAAATAGTTTCTTTGTATTAGTATGGGAGATTTCAGCAATATGAATTCATGATAGTCGAATCGTGAATAACTTCGAAAAGAAATCTTGAAGTTCCAGTGAGTTATAGTAACTAATAAAGTCTATCCATATCACAACTAACACAAAATATTTTCCATGGCAAGAGATGATGGTTGCCCAATATTGCGTAACATGAGAATATAGTCAATTGAAAGTCAATACAATATTCTGATGGCTATGTGTTGAGTTTGACAACCTAAGAGGTTAGATTTGATCCCTGGTGAAATGTCACAAGCCCCGTCCCCTCAGTATTCTCTGTTTTTTTATTATTACTTCATTCATTAATTCATATACATCAGACTGGACACTAACAAATATCAATCTTCCCATTACATAAAAAAATTATAGGATATGATTAATAGTAGAAAACAACACACACGTTTCGTCTTATTTAGGATTCGCCTGCAGGACTCGAACCCAGTACTATTCACTTCAAATACCAACACATTATTCACTTAGCTACTACATCTAGACAGTAACCAACTTGTTCAAATGATTACGAATTTTAACTTAATTTAATTGTATTTAGTATTGCTTGTTTGAATCTTCCCATCAATGTGTTAGGACTGCAAATGGTAAACCTCCAATCGGCATATGTACATACTGTGCATATTGCCTCGATATAGCGTTAATTCACAAGCATGATAAGCAGAGATGGATAGTGGCTAGCAGTGGATAACGCGATGGCGTTTGAAGCGAGGGTACTGGGTTCGAGTCCCAGAGTGAACATCAACTCTGAGATGCAGGTACATCCAGCTGACGAGTCCCAAATAGGACGAAACGCGCGTCAAACTGGATTCCATTGCTAGCCACTATCCATATCTGCTTAATTTAAATGGTTTAGTTTATGCCATTGTTGATAGCTTACTTAAATATTGATCAGTCTTAAGTTGGTCTATGTACATTCTTTTTATTCAGCATTTGAATAAATAAGTAAGTAACGCTTTAATAATAGTAAATCGAAGTGAGATGGTGAAGAAGATTTGTAATTCAGGTGAATGATATTGATGAAGTTTGATTCTTTGATAGTTTAGTTGTGGATCTTCGTTCAGATGTCGTTCAGAAAGACGATGAAAGCTCCACGACCTAATCATTCAGCTCAGAAAACAAAACTTCATTAAAATCGAAGTGAAGACGATTACATAACACTCTCTGATTATCCCGATGAGTATTACAGTTTCCTATCATGTGATATTTTTCTCTTTTTTCTCTTCTTTTTGGAAAAAAATCAATCTAGATATGGAATGATTATCATTTCTTATGGAATCCTAAAGAGTTTGGTAATATAACAACATTAAATTTACCATATACTGCTGTATGGAGACCAGATATTCTATTGTATAATTGGTAAATGAATAAAAATAATTAACAGTTATTCATTTATATATGTATTTTTTACCCAGTAATATGATTACATAACTTTTATTGAATAATTAGCAGTTATATGTTAGTTATATAATATACCCTTGTGGGTTTTCAGGAGAACCAGACACCATCCAGACTTTAACGCGGCAACCCAAACAGTACAGCTCAATCCCATTTAACAGGAGAGTCAGGCACTGCCCAGGCTTAACCCGAACAATACAGCTCAATCCTATAGCGAAACCACATAGGTAACAAGCACCCTGGTGAACCATTCGCACCATTCATATACACATTCACATCAGATGTATAATTATTCTGATCAGTGATCGCGTAAATCAATTTTGCACGGCATAAACAGGTCAAAGTTGACCCATTCTACTTACACGACAGTCAAACTCATTAATGTTAGCAAAGGCGATATGCCTTACAATGCTCCAATGACAATAGCCCTTGAGAATACTGAAAAGTAACCAACAGTATGAATGAAATCGATTAACCAACAAACTAACTTTTCACATAAACAGTGAGCAAAACTTGCCAAAGCAATGTCGAACCATCCACAATTTCAATGGCTAACCTCCAGTCTCCAATAAAGACCTTCAGCTATACATGGCCATATAGCTTATACTGCATACAACATATATATAGGTTAGTAAGCAAAACAGCCCAACCTGAAGCGTTAGGGCATAAAGCACGCATAAAAACCCATTTTCTGGTGTCCGAATACTAATACAAGACCACCAAGATCATTTTTATCGCATTTGCGAAATTATCATTTTTCCGACCTTCCAGACTCTGAGTTAGGGATAGTATCCCTTGAATAATTGGCGGTTGAACTAAAATATAATGACGAGCCCATCAGTAACTGAATAAGCTACGTTAATGTTTCTTCCACGAAATTCAGCATAGTATAACAGAAATATCTTTGTATTATGGTCAAAATGTTTAAGATTATAAAGGACAACAAAGATGGATGGTGTTTAGAAGTTGAATACGAGACACAAATATCGTCTTATTTAGGACTCGTCAGCTGGATGCACCGGGATCTTCGAGTTGATGTTCACTCTGGGATTCGAACCTAGTACCCTTCGCTTAAAATACCATCACTTTATCCACTTCATAGTAAATTCAAAGAAATCATTTTATTGATGAGGAATTGAATAACAATCAAGCTGATGATGTAGGAATTCCTATACATGAATTTCTTATATTATTGTCATAGAAGTTCTTCTCTTTTCTATGAAATCATTTACTTAAGCTGTATATTCATATTTACAATTGGATGATAATACAATACGAAAGCATCTAATCAATTCTGGACACGTCGCTCCGATGGAGTCTACCTTTAAAATAATCTACATAGTCAAAGGAATTGGATCGTGGGGAAGTCGAGTTCAAAACTTATGCACTGTTGAGGTTCTAGTGATCCACCAGTTCAAGGTCGAATTCTGCATGAAAAAAAGATCCTTCCAACTTCTCATCTTTCATTAGCCCTAATTCCCTTCTGTAGTATCTTTTGGCCTTGTTTTGTAATTTCAAACTGTAATCACTTATTATTATTACCTATATGTTTTTCACTATTCATTATTCTTATCTGTCAAGTGGACAATTATCTTCCACAATTCTGACCTGGAAATCCTTTTCATCCTTCTGTTCATCTTTAAACCCCGGATTATTACTTACTTACTTACTTACGCCTGTAACATACAATGGAGCATAGGCCTCCGACCAGCATTCTGCAACCCACTCTGTCCTGGGCCTTCCTTTCTAGTTCTATCCAACTTTTGTTCATTCTTCTCATGTCTGTCTCCATTTCTCGACGTAATGTGTTCATTGGTGTTCCTCTTCTCTTCTGGCCTTGAGGATTCCATGTGAGGGTTTGCCTTGTGATGCAGTTGGGTGACTTCCTCAATGCGTGTCCTATCCACTTCCAGCGCTTCTTGCTGATTTCTTCCTCCGCTGGAATCTGGTTTGTTTTCTCCCACAGTAACTTGTTGCTGATAGTGTCTGGCCAACGAATCCGAAATATCTTGCGTATACAACTGTTAATAAACACTTGTATCTTCTGGATGATCGTTTGCGTAGTTCTCCAGGTTTCCACTCTGATTATTACGTAACCTCATTGGATAATTAAAGTCTCGACTCATTTTATGATTCATTATTTTCTATCTTTCTATAGAGTCATATATTTACTAGACAACTATCAATACAAACGTACAGCATATTTCTTTATTGGTATAAAGACGCATTGGATATATATGCTTCACACAAGTCACTTGGTTTGTGTGTGGGTTATGATACTATCCGAGTGCTCAAACCGAAGCAGGTGATTTTCTTATGAGGCTACGCTCGGAACCTTCGACCTAAAGTTCTAATCCACAAGGTGGTCGAGCAACTTTAGGAGATGTAATAGGTTCATACACCATTTGTTCCTTCAGGATTTTGGAGATCATGTACACCATTGGTTTAGAATCAGTGTTTTCCAAATTTTCTAAGTGGACACTCCATGTCCACAAAGCAGGTAAAGCGCTGGACATTCGCATTTCGTCCTCTCAATTTCGTAAACAACACTCCTGCAGTGAGAAGGCAATGAGTAGGACTTTCCTGGAGTAATAATATTTCTACAATATTATAATTGATAGACTGATAAGAAACCTTCAAAACAATAAATCAGTATACTCTATAAGGTTTTTATTTACATAGACTATTAACTCATTGACTGGAAATTGACCCCAGTATTAGAATATCATGTTAAGACTAGCTAAATCTCATTTCTGTATTTTAGTTAGGTTCCAATAGCATTCACTTAATGAAGATTCATGTAGATATCATCTGACTATTGGCACTGAAACTGCTTTGATATGAGTTGATATGAGTAATGTTATGACGCCTGGTTCTTCACGTCTTCACAAATCGGACGTTAATTTGCTTTAGACGAATATCTACATTAGATTCCTTCTCAGTGTCTATTCTACAGGACTTCAACACAATTCAGATCAAGAATATGTGATTAGCCTGACTAGAACGTAAATATATTTCCACATCCATAAAACCGACAACAATCCAACACAATCCAACAACAATCGATCATGGTAGAAGTCTATCAGAAGTTTGTTCTGATGATGTCATTCGTAAGAAGAACGATGAACGCTCCACAACCAAGTCATCCAGCTCCAAGAACAAAACTCCATCAAAATTATCCACCTGAACTATAAATCCTCACCATTTCAATATTACACAATTTTGTTTTCTTACATGATTCATATGTGTCTAATTTGAAACAATTATCCCATGAAGTATGTGATTAAAGTTACTAGATCGGTTACATAATCAATATTGATCTCCCTTCACCTCCAGGCTTATCAAATCACAAATATCGCTCCATTCTGTGTATTCGACGTGAAAGTGTCAGTAGTTAAGATCTAACTCTTAAGCTACTTCAGTTCGAAAACGACGGATTTATAAATTATGTAGAATGTTGTCATCTTGTTACTTCAAATGAAGTTCTTTTTTGTGGCTTTTGTTTTAATTTAGTGCGGATGAAAAATTCGATCGTACATTTCCAACAAATACAATTATAAAACATGATGGTACTGTTCAATGGATGCCACCAGGATTATTTAAATCTACATGTAATATAGATATTTTATGGTTTCCATTTGATGAACAGGTAAATGGGAGCATTTATCATTAAATATATTTTTAATAGTTGAATTGATGAATCGATTAAAGCTCGATCACTATGGGAAACCTGGGACCACTGAACAGCCGATTCATTCTCATGTAAGACTCCTTAGCAGTGCCCCCCCCACTACCCCGCGGACGGGATTCGAACACATGACCCCTCGGTGTCGCGGACGAACGTTTGACCCTTAGACCACTGAACCGGTACTCAACGGTGTCAATACCTAACTTTCATCAATCCATGAATGGCTGAGCGACCATCCATCTATTGTCTCAGATAGATACCTGTCTCTACTCGACACATATTAGATTCCACCAATCACGGCTTCTCACTAGAACCCCAAGAAATCATCTTGGAGTCAGTCACTAATGAGGGATTTTTGTGAAGATTGTAATAATTTTAGTCGTTGAATTCATGAGTCATTCTGTATACATATTTTTACCAGGTCTATAAGATGAATAATAACCGGTTACTTATTAAACATTCAAAAGTCTTTACTTGTTTCATTCATTACGTTCACTGAATTAGGAATTCAAGGTCTATATAATCAACTGCCTTGTCAATAAGCTTGAGGACAATGAACTCCATTCCATGTGAAGTTATAACTGTATTACACTTAAGATTTATGAACCAGAATGAAGCATCTATTAAGAATTATCTATTGGCTTCAAATTGTTCTTTGTCGGGCTTTAGTTCATGATGGAAATCGTTATTGATAGAACTCATCCATGTCAGACAGATAACATCTATATATAATATAATATACCCTTATGGGGCAGGGTAATCTTGCATTGGTTTTTGAGGAGAACCAGACACAATCTAGACTTTCACCCGGCAACCCAAACAGTATAGCTCAATCCCGTCTAAAAGGAGAGTCAGACACTACCCAGGCTTAGCCCAAGCAGTACAGCTCAATCCCGCCCTATAGGAGAACCACACACTATATAGGCATCTACGATACAATCCGAACAGTACAGTCCAATCCTGTGGCGCAACCACACAAGTACCAAGCACCCTAGTGGACCAAGATAACATCTATAGCAATGAATAATGGTCACACTAGATCACAAAATGAGCAATTTTGAAATGTGAATTATTGTAATAGTCTCAAAGTTATTGCACCTCTTAAAGAGATTGAACACTCAGGGTTAAGTCCAATATGAATTTGTAAAGTAAAGATTATTGTGGAGCATAGATTGATTAAATATGTCTTAACCATGGCTCTATGGTTTCAAAGGATTCTTGTATCTACACAAACCCTTAATTTCATTACACGAACATCATTAATGTTATTTGTATGCTTAACAGTATGTTAAAAGAATCATTGAAAGTAAGCGATCGTCACTTTTTTTTCGATGATTAAGTTGCCGAAGTGTAGAATCCTTTATCAGTGTGATGACTTTAACGATCTTCTCTGTATGATATTATGGTTCTAAGTGTTATTTATCTGATTTTATTTGAACACATAAATATTGGTACAAAGGGGAACCAGATACATGTGCGCCACACAAATCTGATTTCATTTGTGTGAGGGCTGGAATACTACCGTCCAGGTGCCCAAACTGAAACAGGTGGTTTTCTTAGGGAGCCACATCCGTAGCCTTTGACCTAAAGATCTGATCCACAAGGCAGTGAAGCATCGTAAGGAGATGCAGTCTCATGGTAGCCGGTGACCAACGATTGATTCATATGCAATTTGTTCCCTCAGGATACTGGAGCCTATGTGCACCATTTGTTTGGAATCAGGGTTTTTCAACTCCCCTAGGTGGACTTTCCGTGTCCACCAACCCGGTTAAAGCTCCTGTCGGACATTTGCTTTTCGTCCTCTAAATTTCGTAAACAACAGTAATGCTGTGAGAAGGCAGTGATTAGGGCTTACCTGACAGAGGCTATATACGCGTGACCATGTGAGGAGGTAGAGCAGCCTCTCCCCACTCTTGGCCCTACCAGGGCATTTGGGGGCCATAGGAACAATATTACTGTGAAGTCTAAGAATGAGACGAAATCAACTCCAATTTTTACCAATCTGGACAAATCTCAAGAAATTCAAAACTTAATTTAGTTGATTGATAAAAAATGTCAGGATCATGTAGCAGAACGAATCTGATTTCTAATTCCTCCCCATCGCCTCAGTTGTTTATCAGTATTCCAACTTCAGTCAGTTCGTGACCATTACCTTTTACAAATGTGATATTTATATATTATTATTAATCAGAATGAGGAATGTATTCTATTATTGACGGTTTGAATCTTCCCATTGATGTTTAGGACTGCAATTGATTAGTCTCTTATCAACATACGTGGGGAGATTCAAGCAAACTATACATAAATGAAGTAAAACTTCACCTCATTAAACAATTTAACATCTATTTGAACTCAATAGCTAAGTAGGTAACGTGATAGATTATATAGCCTGCAGTAGTGGTTTTTAGTCCCAGAGTAACACATCAACTCTGAAATTCAGGTAGACCAAGCTAACGAATCCCAAATAGGATGAAACACTTATCCTATGTTCCACTGTTAGCTACCATTCATCATTGTTGAAAATTAAAGAATCTTCATAGTTGAAATCATGAGTCAACTGAAGCTAGACCACTATGGAAAACCTGGAAGCACTGGATGGCCGTTTCATCCTATTATGGGACTCCTCAGCAGTGCTCATCCACGATTCCGCACTCGCGAAATTCGAACACAGGACCTACTACTCTCGCGCCGGATCATTTAACCGATAGACCACTGAGCCGGCCGGCATCCAATGGTGTTAATGTCTAACTTCAACTGATCCACGAAGTTGAAAAACCGTTCACCAATTGTCTTCAGCGAGTTGATATCTCTACAACAGACATGGTTGAACTCCACTAGTCACTGCTTCCCACTAGAACTCAAGGAAACATCTTTTGAAGTCAGTCACTAGTGAGCATATGATTATAGATGAGAAGTGGTTTTGTGGAGATTTAGTATTTCTATAGTTGAAAGCGTAAGTCCTGGATTCGAATCTCGCCAGTGCGGGATAGTGGATGCACACTGCCGAGAAGTCCCATAACATGACGAAAAGGCCGTCTAGTGCTTCTAGGTTTTCCATGATGGTCTAGCTTCAATTGACTCATACTTTCAACTACGAAAATACTGAAATCTCAACAAAAACCCCTTCTGATAATAATTAAGGAATTGTTTCAAATAAGCTGTGCTACTGAGTTAAATTCAGTAGCCCGATGAAATCGCTAAAAATTAACTTGTGAAACTTGCATTAACATATTTCTTTGTAGAGTTGTATATTGAAATTTGGTAGTTGGACATATTATGGTGATCAAATTAATTTTCAATTACAATGTATTAATGCTTCACAACCAGATTGTACACAAGTTGGAACGGTAGATTTATCTGAATATTCACGTAATGGAGAATTTCATCTTAGTGGTAAGGAGACTCCTGTTTTTTGTTTAAAAACAGCTAATGAATGCCAGTGATTCTGTTGTTTTAGTTAAAATATTTGGTGATCATATGTTATTCAATAGGTACCTTATGTAGGAATTGTGTGTACGTTGTGGAAGACCAAAACAGTAGTAAGGTTACTGCTTAGTAGTAATGTATAGAATTACTTACTTACTTACTTACTTACTTACTTACTTACTTACTTACTTACTTACTTACTTACTTACTTACTTACTTACTTACTTACTTACTTACTTACTTACTTACTTACTTACTTACGTGTTTTACCCCTAATGAAGCGTACGCTGCTGATCAGCATTCTCCAATCATGGGCCTTCCTTTTGTAGCTCTATTCAATTATCGTTCCTTTTTCTCATGTCTGTCCCCATTTCTTGGCATAATGTATTCTTTAGTCTTCCTCTTTGCCTTTGGATAGAAGCTCAGACGCTACTCGTCAAGTTCTAGATAAAGCGTGTTCAATCAGTCGCTAGATCGACAACTATAACGTGCAAATGGTAATTATAATATGTGGCGTATCATTCAAAGTAATCTACCATCAATAATCCAATGAAGAGGAAAAGGATATGATCCACGAATATGTTAGTTAATAGAATGATAACAAAGAGTAGTATGAGCAGCAATATATATTTGGAGAAGAACAATCAGTATGTCACGCAAATGGGAGAGAGTTTACCGTGAAAGTTCATGGTCACATTTAAAGTCAATAACAACGATTGTACAAATTAAATGGAATTTCTGGTTTTGATTGAGATAGTGAAACGATGAGTGTTAAACCACTATTGAAAACTTAAAGGCACTTGGCAGTTATTTCGCCCTAGTATGAGACTTTTCAGTTGTTGTCATCCATGATTCGGCACCAAATGGATTCGAACCCAGGATCTTCAGTCTCGCATGAGAACGATAAGTCACCATTGAATGGTGGTCAAATATTCATTGATTCATTATCTAAATCAGAAACTTAACAATCTCACACTGATAGTTACATATTTGATTGAAGAATTTCCGTCACAAAATTCTAATGAAATTCCAGTTTTGAAAATATCCAACTTTTGAATATTCACAATATCAGTGTAGAATGAATTCATTTAGCACTGTTTGTTTGAATCCTCCCATCGATGTGTTAGGACTGCAGCTGGTCAGTCTTTAACTGGCATATGTGCATACTGTGCGTATTGCCTCGATATAGCCTTAATTCATAAGCATGGTAAGCAAAGATGGATAGTGGCTAGTGGTGGAATTTAAGTTTGACGCGCGTTTCATCCTATTCGGGACTCGTCAGCTGGATGTATCTGCATCTCACTTGTTGATGTTCACTCTGGGACTCGAACCCAGTACCTTTCTCTTCATGTTCATTCATGAATATTCACGATCCTTATTACTTTAAATGACTACTCATTTCATTGATTGAGTGGACTTGATGTGTGTATCCTGTAGAAATCCCCTCTGTTTCCATCCCCCTCCAAAAGAAACAGAACCCCTGTGGTGTGATTTGTTGAGTTACTCAATAATCCAATAAGTAATAGATTGTAAATCTTGTAAGTGCATATATTTGACGAGCATAATTAGTTATTTATTCTAAAGACTGAACATAGTTTATGTCACAATTTGATACTGTGAAGTAGCATACACCTATAATGATGAGTAGTTTAATCACTTGGTCATTAGTGACTATAATTGAAATATGGATTCATCAAAGTTTTGTCTTGATGTCATACTTATTTCTGTTACCCGACGTCGAGGAGCATAGACTGCTCGCTAACATTCACCATCTAACTCTATCGTGAATAATCCTTTCCAGTTGTTTCCGATTGTTAGCAATTCTTTTCATGTCTGCTTCCATTTCCCGACGCTGTGTGAGAATGCATAATTTGAAAAAAAAAATTGCATCTTTATGTATGACAGCCCATGAACTCAAACCTATGTCGAATAGGTCAGGACCGATTAAATTGTCACTATAAAGACAGATAACTTCATATAGTGAGGGAGAAATATCATTTCAGGTCCTGGGTTCGAATCTCGCGGGGCGGGATCATGGATGCGCATTGCTGATGAGTCCCATAATAGGACGAAACGGCTGTCCAGTGCTTCCAGGTTCAAAACTTTAGTTGAGTTTTCAACAAGACAAAGTGTACTTCACTAATGTAAACATTGATTTACTATTCAAATGGAAAAATTGTTTAGGTGAATTAACATAATAAAATTTAATGTTACGCCATAATATTATAATACGATAACTTGATCGATGACTTAGACGATTCTACTACCAGATTGAATACTCGATCATTAAGCTACACATCATCTAGGACTACGTTATACTAGATATACAATTCTAGACCGAACCAGCAGTTTATTCACGAATCACAATGTCAGCCCTAACTTGTAATCCTGAAGAGAAATGGAAAAGAGGAAGACCGATGAACCCAACGTGTCGGGAATCGGATGCAGACGTGAAAAAGATCAATGGCAACTGGAAAGAACTCGAAAGCATTGCCCAGGATAGAGTTGGATGGCGAATACTGGTGGTTGGCCTATGCCCCTCGACAAGGGGTAACAAACGTAACTAAGCAAATAAGCAGCTTATTAAACACAGTCACAATCAGTCTACACTCAATTATTCTAAAGTACTTCACCTGATCATATAACAAGTTAATTGTAATTTGATTTTTTCAATTTTACACATTAAAAAATAATCCAAACAGGTTCTTCAGTTCGACGTTATGCCCAACGTTATGAATGTTGTGATTATGATTTTGTTGATGTTAAAATTGCAATTACACTTCAACGACGTGCACTTTATTATGTATTTAATCTTATTGTGCCTTGTTTATTAATATCTGGTATGGCTTTAATGGTATTTATGTTACCACCAGATGCAGGTGAAAAAATATCATTAGGTAAGTCAATGGGATTTAGATTTTGTTTTCCATCTTATTGTAGTTTGGCCATCATATTAGAATTGATAAAATAGAGTGATTACAATAGACAGTGGCTTAGTTGTTAAAGTGTCCAACTTTCATCCACTAAGCTCTGGGTTCGAACCCGACTCACCTAGTTTGGTCTAATCAACAGAATAGTATCATTAACCTTCTCATTTAGAATTTGGCTCAGTGCCAACTACCTGATCAGTAAATCAATTAAGATTAATGAATTAAAAAGTTAGACTGCTTCGCTTCACTTTAGTACCGTATATCTCGTTGCTAAATTTCAAAACTCCTCATCAAACGTTTACGTGAATTATTTTTTTGTTAAATGTAACTTCAATAATGTCATAAGAAGACGATGATTATCAGAACTATGTGATGAGATTCAACTTAGTATTGTTTGTTTGAATCTTCCCATCGATTTGTTAGGACTACAACTGGTCAGTCTCTAATTGGCATATGTGCATACTGTGCGTATTGCCTCGATATAGCCTTAATTCATGTGTGATGAGATATTAGCGCAATACATTTCGAATCAATCTGATCACATCTAATATACTTGTTAAGAACATTTATATAGAAAAAATATAAAAGGTCAACTAGACTGGAAATGGGGGGGGCTAAGAATAGACAGGGATAATAATGATAAAATAATGTGAAAACAATTTGACACCAAATCACTCTGGATAATAAACTGATACTACCAGGGTAGGTTTAGGGAGAGAGCAAACTGTTTTTGAATAGACAAAGGGGGTTTGAATTTTCGTATGGCTAAGGCTTCAATAAACCTCAGTATACGCCCTTTTACACTTTTAAACAACACAACAAAAGCTGAGTTAAGACCAATCTTATGACCTGTTTCGATTATATGTTTAGCAATAGAGGATGATGGATGTTTATCCTCTACTCTTATTAGGTCATTTGATTTTATCTGTTTCTGCAACCATTTTGGTACATGTTCACCCACCCTAATTTTCAGATCACGATTGCTCCACCCTATATGTATGTGTGACCACACACACAATTAAATTGGTAAACGCAGTGGGATGTGACACAATCATTTTCATGTCTTTTAGGTTTTGAATGAGGCATGGACCTCGTTCTTTCTTTGATAATGACCTTCGATGCACAATACGTTTTATTGATGACTGATTTGTTTCAATTTGTTTCAAGAAAAGGCTATTTGAATCACCTCTCAATGGTAAGGTGATGTAGACAGGCTTTTTTTTCTCCACAAAGGCTACAATAGATCTCACTGTGCCATGAACTTTTCATCTATTTAAAGTACGGAGATCTTTTTAGTACATTACTACTTTGTTCTATCTATACTCAAATCAAATATGTTCCTATGATGAATGACCCCGTGTAATATCATGTGACAATAATACCATTGAGAATATCGATTTCTGTAACATTATCCCTTAGCCAACCAATGATACACCAATCAGCACTAGGAGCTTCAATTAATTACTAAGTCATTATTAATCCTCAATACAGGTGTAGTGTGGTTTACTTATATCCATATAAGTAGTATATGACGATGGTCAGACAGAATGTATTTTGACAGAAAACCGATAATGAAAGAATTAAAATGAAGTGCGACTGGTAGAAAAATACATGAACAATGGAATTAGAGAAAACGGATTGATATTTGCAGAAGGAACAGTGAAGATTGAGACAATTGATTGATAGTTTGCATATTAACTGTTTACTATTGTATGATTATCAGAATTTAGTGAGATAGTCTGTAATTTGTGCTTAATTACATTCGATTGTCCCCAACTAGTGTTTTCATTCACTACACAGGGACTTTTCACCTTTCCCTGTCCATTAAGTCCAAAATACAATAATCAGCCTCCAATATATGTATATTATATTTCAAGCATACCCCCAGTTTCTATACAAACATACCTGACCAAATTACACTATAAAATGGATAGCAAAAGGTATATATGATCAAGCCAAACGTGTTTGTGAATAAGAAAGGATGATGGAATATAACAATGAATATAATCATTAAACTGAACAACTTCTATGTAAAACACCAGCGACCAACGAAAATCGGGTATCTTGTGTAGATAACCGTTCATTAATACTTGTAATACTTTGATGAGTTTTTGTAGTAGATCTTCATGTTTCAGCTCCATACAGTAGGACTGTCTTGACGTTCGTATTGAAGATTCCAACTTTGATCTTGGTTAAAAGACAGTTGTTTTAAATTGGAATTGTAATCAAAAGTAAACGAATAATTGTACATTTTCTTATGATGCTTCTTTTCTTTGATGAAGGCAACTATATGAATCGATATTGTTTACTTTCTTTTTTTAGGGGTAACAATTCTTTTATCATTAACAATGTTCTTACAACTTGTTGCAGATAAACTTCCACAAACATCTGAAGCTATACCATTAATTGGTATGTATATTTATAATTAATAATTCATTTTATTAGAATTCAATAGTTGAATTTATGATTTAATTGAAGCTAGACCATCATGAAGGTTAAGAGTTCTCGTGCGAGACCAATAGGTCCTGGGTTCGAATCCCACAGGAGGGCATTGTGAATAAATACTGGTAAGGAGTTCCGCAGAAGGACGAAACGGCCCTCCAGTGGTTCCAGGTTTTCTATGGTGGTCTAGTTTCAATTAACTCATGAATTCAACTATTAAATTACTATAATATCCACAGAACTCCTTTCTGATAATTTTATTATTCTCATATTCGTTATTGTACTTTGCAAAGATGAACAATATACTACTTTTTATAAGTAACTTATAAGTAGCAAATATGTACCGAATAATAATCACATTTATTTGGTTTTCTGATATTTATTTATTTATTTAAACACATTAACATTGATACAATGAGGCATTGAATACATATATGCCATACAAGACAGTTGATTTATGTGTGGGCTGTGACATTTTCCGGATGCCCAAACCTATTGAAGTGGGGTTTTTTTTGTCAGGGAGCCACTACTCAATTCTATGATCTAGAGGTCTAACCCATATGCCAGTAGGGGAATGTTAAGTGATGCACTCTCATGGTGGCCGATGATCAACAATATGTTCATACTCTATTTATAACCTCAGTATGCTAGAACCCATGTGAATCATTGATTTGGAATCAGGGTTTTCCAACTCCCCCTAAATGGATCCTCTGTATCTAGCAATCTAGTTAAAGCACCAGATATTCGTTTTTCATTGAGTGTAGTCAGTGTGTTGAACTTCCCTGTTAGTGCCTGTATACACGTGAGCATATGAGAGCATTTCAATAGGAAAAGTGGACTCTCCTAATCTTCGATCCTACCAGGAGTGCTTTTTGAAACAAAGAAATACTTCTCAGCGTGTATTTTTTCTATCGGATCCATTGAATATACAAACGTTTGAATCTGTAGGTTGTTTTTATCACTGAATAAACTCAGTTATACTATCTCTAAAATCTAAATTTCACTGAAGAGATGTTTCGTCTGTGGATGAAAATCTTAATCAATGTACCGTTGTATCCTCACTATCGGAATCGAACTACAAAACCTTCAGAATGAACGGTGATCGCTTAACTATATACATTCCCAACTTCAACCAATTTACGGTATAGTACGACAATCATTCATGTAAATTTACAAATATTTCAGAAATCTTTTAATTTGTATTAGATGCCCATTCGTAATTGGTTTTACTTTACTCATCTTCCCCCCCCCCTCTTTTTTAAAAAAAAATTCACTCTTAACAGGTATCTACTTTTCATGCACAATGTTTATGTGTTCATTATCGATTGTATTTACTGTACTCGTATTAAATTATCATCATAGATCAGCTGATTGTGTTTCTGTACCAGCTTGGGTAAGTTTTATTTTGATTATTCTTTTTTATTATAGAATTGAGATCATGAGTCAATTGAAGATAGACCACCATGGAAAACCTGGAACTCCTCAACAGTGCGCGTCCATGATCCCGTCTCGCGAGCAAGATTCGAACCCAGGACCTATCAGTCTCACTCCAGAGCACTTAACCGATAGACTACTTAGCTGACCGGCATCTAACAGTGTTAATGTCTAACTTCAAACAATTCATGAATTTGTCTCATGATCTCAACCCTTTTAAAATTACTAAAATCTCCACAAAACCCCTTCTGATATTCTTTATATTATTTTTAAATCAATACTTATATCATGAAGAGTAGTCAAACTCTTGAATTACCCCATTGTTATTTCATGTTTATTCAACTTTAGATTTTCTCCCATACTACCCTTCATAAGACCATTTCATATGATGAAAAGAAAAGAGATTATAAAGTGTTGAAACTGACCTGTATGAATGATGATTAAGAGTGTATTTGTTAGACTAACTGAAGAATATAGGGGTCTTAATAATGAACAGTAGAATAAAGAGATATTATCAAGGTCAAAGTGATCCAAGGTTATGTGATTGATCGTTTTTATTATAGTGATGTACATAACTAACAATCAAGGTAGGTTAGCTAACGTTCGATTAGTATCCTATAAACAATTCTAAGTACCATATAAATTACTGTTAACATCAATTTTAATCTAATGATATAGAAATAACTTCTGACAATATTGCAACAGGTATCCTAAAGATTCAGTTAAGTCTTCTATTCAAACTCTATAATATCGACTTCCTAACTACTTCCTTGTTTAATGGAAATATTTCCAACATTTCATTAACTTCTGAATACCTTTTCAAGGAAGTGTTCTAGGTCTCTTAACAAATATATTTTAAGAAGGGGGTTTTATGGAGATTTTAGTAATTTTATATAGTTGAAATCATGAGTCAATTGAAGCTAGATCACCATGGAAAACCTAGAAGCACTTGACGGCCGTTTTATCTTATTGTAGGACTCCTCAGCAGTGCGCATCTATTGATGAGTAGTTGCTCAATTTCGTGGATTGGTTGAAGTTAGACATTAACACCTTTGGATGCTAGCTCAGTGGTCAAGTGATTAAGTGCTCGCTCGCGAGACTGATAAGTCCTGTGTTCGAATCCCATGAAGTGGGATCGTGGATACGCTCTGCTGACGAGTCCCACAATACGATGCGACGGCCATCCAGTGCTTCCAGGTTTCCCATAGTGGTCTAGCTTCAATTGACTCAGCTATATACAATATTTATTTTCCCATTTTCTGTTTAGTATTCAATTGGCATTTGTGAATTAATTTAGTCATCTTAATGAGTTTAGTATTTTATCAGTCAATAAAGGTTAGTCGTAACTAGATTGGACAGTAGATGGTAATAGGTGGTTGTCAACATAAAATGTCATATCAGATAATTACTACTACTACTACTACTACTACTACTACTACTACTACTACTACTACTACTACTACTACTACTACTACTACTACTACTACTACTACTACTACTACTACTACTACTACTACTACTACTACTACTAGCATGACGTAGTATATTTAACGTATAATATTTGTATTAGTATGTGGATTGTGGAGAGCACTATTGAAAACCTGAAAGCACTGAATGGTCGTTTCGTGATAGTATGGAGCTCCTGAGCAGTGCTCATCTACGATCCCGCTAGCGAGATTCGAACCCAGGACTTTTAGCCTTCTGTACGAATGCTTAACCTTTTTGTTCGAAACCTTTTTTGATTAACAATACTATTTCTTTTTTTATTATTATTAAATTTATTCAGATTAGGAATATTGTCAATACATATTTAGCTAAATTAATGTGTATGGAACCTCCAAAACGTTCACAAATTATAGAAGTTGAAGATATTTCATCATCTATTAGTGATAATTTCATGGAGAATATAAAAAATTCACAAAGTGAAACCCTATTCAAAGGAGAAGGAGAAGAAGAAGGTGAAAAAGGGAAAAAAGAAAAAGGTCATGAAGACGAAATGAAATCTAAACCATTTGTTAGTTGGAATTATGATACTACTACTCATATTAATAATAATAGTAATATGAATCCTACTTATATGAAGAAGCATTTGATAACTAATTCAAGAATATGTATTAATGGAAATTTGAAAACGACAGCAACAACAACAACAACAACATCATTAATGGAAAACAAATTAAGTAGTATAGATAATCATCAATTACAAAATGCTTTACTTGAACGTACATCAAAAAATACAATAGCCAATGTTATTGATTTAGAAGAAGATTTCCGTGCTACAGCACGATTTACTAATACTACTAATAATAGTAATATATTAATCAATATGAATGAAAAACAAACAATATTGAACAATCATTATCATTCAAAATTAGAAAAGAATACGGATTTATTATCATCACCATCAGGAACTAATCAATCAATACCAGTACAATCTCCTTATCGATTATATAATTCAGTAGGTAATTTTAATTCAAGTAAGTTGAACCTATAAGGCAAGTATAGTGAACGAATGAGGTTGCCATTTATGTGATAATTTTTTTAAATGTTCATATTATCTTTTATAAGCAAAGATGTTTAGTGACTAGGAATAGGGTAAAGAATCCGCGTTTCATCCTCTTTAGAACTCAGAAGCTGGATATACTTCCATGTCATAGTTGATGTTCACCGGTTGTTGTAACTCTATAAAAGGTCACTGCCAATCAGATGAAAACTTGTTTAATGTTAATACTGTGGCAAAACAATGACGTTCAACTGGTATGAGTAGTCTAGTGTCCGTATTGGTCCCTTGTCCGCCTAGCCCTCCCAATTGAGTCCACAACTTCTGTTATGTGAATCATTTATGTCAAGCATACTTTGTTTATACAAAAGACAAATAGACCACATCACACCATAAAATACAAAATAATATTTGTACAAGATCGAGTCAAATGTGGCTGTGAACATGCGAGACACTAGCCAATAAACTGAATATAATTTAAGGACAGTGATTCGTATAATACTAATCCATAGGTCAAAATGAAGCTTTTAATAAGATGAATATAGATATACACAACCTAATTACTCAATAGTTAAATCATAGGAATATATATAGAATAATCGTCCATTAATAGGTCCTGGAAGTTATCCGTACTTATGTCTTCACTAGGATATAACACGGGTACTGTTCGCTTCAAAATACCATAACTTTGCCCACTTAGCTATTGTGTTCTGAGAAGCAGTTGTTTGTGAAATGGGATGAAGCTTGCATTCACTCTATATTGTTTAACTTGAATCTTCTCGTCGATGTTTAAGAATGCAATTCATAAGTCTATTATTGGTATATATGTATCCTGTATGGATTATCTCGATATTGTCTTAATTCATAAGCATTATAAGTATTGACGATTTGTGGTTATTAGTGGAATCCATGACGTAAGCTTTGATTATGTTTAAGACTCATTAGCTAGATCTATCTGAACCCTATTGACAAAGTTAATAATACCAATTAGTCATTAGCTTATTATACTAACATTCGGGTATTACCAACCATGTGTAACTTTGTAAGCAAAGATGGATAGTGGCTAGCAGTGGAATCCAGTTTGATGCTTTTTTCATCCTGTTTGGGACTCGTCAGCTGGATGTGCTCGCATCTTAGAGTTGATGTTCACTCTGGGACTTAAACCCAGTATCTTTTGCTTCAAATGCCATCACGTTATCCACTAGGTCACTGAGTCTTGATAGCCACTTGCTTGTGCAATGGGTGTAACTTTGTAATATTCATAATCTATTGTAAAGAATTCTATATTTTATGTGATTTTTCTTCCTAGTTACTAACGTTATTTGTTTTGATTTCTTTTTTTCTCCATTAACCCCCCCCCTCACCACCTCCACCACCACCATCACCATCACCAACACAACAACACTAGATCTATTCTCTGATGAATTCAATAATATATCAAATAAGAATAAATCGCAAATTGATCCAGACCAATCATCATCTATAATAATGAATCCATTTCTAATATATAAATCAGATTTAGAATTTATTATTACTGAGCTACGTTTTATTACTAAAAAATTACGTGATAATGAACAAGATGAATTAATGAGTTTAGAATGGAAATTTGCAGCTCGTGTAATTGATCGGTTTTGTTTAATTATATTTAGTTTATGTAATATTATTGTTACATTTGCTATATTATGTTCTGCACCTAATTTAATTGCTTCATTTATGCCATAATTAATTTGACCTTTTACTTTTCTCTTCTTTTCTCTTTCTTTTCTTTTCTCTTTATTTTATTTTCTCTTCCCTCTTTTTCTTTCTTTTCTCTTTTCTCTTTTCTCCTTTTTGTTTTGGGTTAGATTTTTCAAGCTCTATAATTTCTTTAATTTACATTTCTCTTTCTTCTTTTTCTTTCTTTTCTTTTTTTCTCGTTTTCTTTCTTTTTTTCTTTTCTCTTTTTTTGTTTTGGGTTCAATTTTTTACGTTCTATAATTGCTCTACTTTACTTTTCTTTCTTTTTTCTTTTCTCTTTTTTTGTTTTGGGTTAGATTTTTCACGCTCTATAATTTCTTTAATTTACTTTTCTCTTTCTTCTTTTTCTTTCTTTTCTTTTTTTCTCGTTTTCTTTCTTTTTTTCTTTTCTCTTTTTTTTTGTTTTGGGTTAAGCTGAAGATCCTTTTTTGTGTGTTTTTTTTTGTATTAAAACACCAAAATAGCCTTAATTGAACTTTGAATCAATCAAATAAATAAGCAAATACGATTAGCTGATAGCAACTATTCAATAAACATTATCCGGTTATGATAATCATAAACTACTTATATATAGTAGTATATTTTCAATCTGATATCTACTATGTATGTTATAAGAAAGAAACAGAGAGAGAGTGAGAGAGAGAGAGAGAGACAAAGAAAGTAAAAATTGAGATCATGAATTAATCAATGTTAGATCACCATTCGAAAAAAAAGGTGGAAACAGTACTTGGATACTAGTTCAACAATGATCATGATGATGATCTTAATCAACAACAACAAAAAAATCATACCCACCATCTTCATAACCTTATACTGTAATGAATAGATCTTTCATTTAGTCACTTCATGGAAGTTATGACTATGATTAGTATTACATTAGATAACTATCTTGTTCTTTCTTGTTGAAATATTACTGAATTAGTATAATGTTTATTAGATATTTTTTATGATCTAAATCTTCTCCATTCTCTCGTATAATTTTTTTTTTCTTTTTTTAAAACATGACCATGTAATCACTATGGTGAACTATGAAATTCATTTGGGATACAATGAAAACTTTTAAAAGATTTTTGTATGTGTGTGTGTGTGTGTGAGTGTATGTGAATTGTCTTTCTGTTTATTATATTGTAGATATTGTATAATTGAATTCTATGTTCTATATTCAATATATGAATTAGTTTCTTTTATATGCGTGTGTGTGTGTATATATATATATATATATATATATGTGTCTACTGCTGTCCTCTCCCCCTCTCTCTCTCTCCCTCTATCTCTCTTCTCACACACATACACACACACACACACTTTATCTTTGTGTATTTTTGAGGAGTCTGAAATTGTACCTCCAATAGTGTACTTATTTAGATCTGGTTTTTTGTTCTTCTCTAAAAATCAATAATTAGGAAATGATTTTTTTTTTAAAAAGAATTCATGATATTCTTTCAATCGAATGTCTTTTTTTATTATAGTAATAACTTCTCCAAGATAGATGGTTTAATTATGGGACTTTCATTATCATTCTATACATCTTCAGTGCTTACTTTGTGTATAAGTGAGCTTTCTAGTTATTTTGCTAATGTTATATCGGATCATTCAGATGATCTTGTTGAAGGATAGATTTTAAATCATCTTTTTTTTTAACTTTTGAAGTCAATTTGATCATCATTGTTGATTGACCTATGACTTTGGGAATGATTGATCTCTTCTACATAGATTCATAGATTAGATCACACCAACTATCAAGATAAATCCCTGAATAGATTCCAATTTAGCGACCGTCGTTCGAAATACCATGAATTTGTTCATAAAGACTAATGAATTATAATGTTGTAGACCATCAAGGTTGATGATCTATGTCGAATGATTGAAGGCCTACTCGAGTTAGACAGGAACGGTGTAAAGAACAAGCTAACTTCGAAGTCACACCTCGCGATCAGCACCTTACGTGGATTGCCCCATCGACGTATCAAGGGACCATGGATCCTCTGAAGATTGTATAACACAAAGGACGTTATTACAGGAATATATTAGATAAAGTAGAACCACTGCCGCATGGGCCAGCCCATGGAGTATGATTAAGTGATGCGCGTTGATTGTCTTTGACCTTGACGGGGATCGATGATCTGTTTGATATTTAGTGACCCAACTACCGGATGATTTGGCTAGGGTTCAGTGACATTTCACTGGCCCTACAATTTCCACTAATTATTCTATAGGTTTAATACAATTTTATTATGGTCATTTAAAAATTCTCATCATTAATATTTATCTGATACGTTCTAGAATAGAGTGAAAGATTCATTTCGAATTCTATAGAAGGATATCTTGGCACCTTGTGAATTAAGATGATACATCGAGAGATGTATAGGATTGTAGCAATTAAAAGTAATCATTCATTGTATAAAAATTTCGATAAGATTATCAACATTTAAATCCAAGAATACTCAATAGAACAGTCAGTAAAAACTAAACGAATTGCATATCATCAAATTCCTTGTTATTTATCAATAATATACCGAGTTTCTATTGTACTCAAAACTGTCTGTTCAACATCGGGCTCACCATTGAAGATACTACAGGTATTTTAGTTTGACAACATTTTGCCAGTACCACCTTCTGTAATTGAATCGCGCCTATCTAGTAAAATCAAAAGTCAGAAGCGAGGAAGTTGGAAGATATACACTTGATGAGTTATCAATATATCGAGGACTGACTGATCTAATCTAGCTAGTAATTGCAGAAAATGTTGCGCACGCCGTTCCAAACCGTGATCTGGTGAGGATGCATGAATGAGAGCCTTCAGCTAAATGAGTCTATTAAAACTAATGTGGTCAGCATCCAATGTCGAACACTACAGAGCTATTGATTTTGGGGATTTATGTTACAGCTACAATCTATTTAGTTAATTTAGTTATTCATAAGACTATTTACTATAGATGTGATGAAGATTAATGACATTGAAGAAACTTTCAATTTGAATTCCTCAACTGTGTTCATATCTGTTGGCTTAATTATTATTACAAGCTTAAAACGTTAATGAAAGCTCTTAAAAATACTATAAATATATTTTATATAGTTGAAATCAACTGAAGCTATACCACCATGGAAAACCTGCAAGCACTGGACGGCCGTCGCGTCCTATTGTGAAACTCCTCAGCACTGCGCATCCACGACCCTGCCTTGCGAGATTCAAACTGAGGACCTGTCGGCCTCGTACTCGAGCGCTTAACTTCTAGACCAATGAGTCGGCGTCCGATGGTGTTAATGTCTAACTTCAACCAATCCACGAAATTGAACAACCATTCACAATTGTTTTTAATGAGTTAACATCTCTCAACATACCTGGTTAAACTCCACTGGTTACTGCTTGTCACCAGAACTCCAGGAAATACCTCATGGAGCCAGTCACTAGTGAGCATATGATTATTAGAAAGGGGCTTTGTGAAGGACGAAACGGCCGTCCTATGCTTCCAGGTTTTCCACGGTGGTCTAGCTTCAATTTACTCATGATTTCAACTATATAAAATTACTAAAATCTCCACAAACCGCCCTTCTACTATAAATATATATTTGGCGAGATTAGGATTTATGGACGAACCAATCACATTTAAGATGACAGATCTTCGATTTTGGCATTATGACTGATGTCATTTCGTGATAAAAACTCTAAATCTAATTCCTTACCCTAATCATCAAATGTAATTTATAATCCTTATTCTTCACACTGGTTTATAATCCTCATTTAGCCCTATTAAGTAGGTCAACGTTCCTAGGTGATTTTAGCGTTGTTCAAAGGTCATTCATCAATTATAATCTCACTTTTATATTTAGGACTGAAACTATTCAGGCTTCATCTCGTACATCTGCTACCTTAGCTAATCGTCACAAGTGATCAGTTGGAATTTGAAGTAATAAACACTAGGCTCTGATTTCATTTCGAATATCAACGCTTACGTAGAAGTACATTTAACTGACGAGTCTCAAATAATATGAAATTTATATCCAATAACCGAACTTTATTCGATCTAAAACTAGGTTGAATATGTTCAGTGTTATTTTACAAATACATTCTCCCCCTTTAATGTCTCACAACAACTGGGCTCTCAAATATCATGAAACTATTCGGTCAGATTTAGACGAAAATTCCTATATTTATCAGGTTTCTTTTTTTAGTAAACTCGTCGTAGTATGGAACTCCTTAGTAGTGCACACCGACGGTCCCGCATCAAAGGGATTCGAACCCATAACCTTCGGTATCGTGTGAATGCTTAACTTCTAGACAACTGAGCTGGCCAACATCCGACAGTGTTAATGTCTAACTTCAAGCAATCCATGGAATTGCGCCATCGTCTACTATTTATTCTATAGTTAACAAACCCAATAAATTAATTGCCTCAAACGTAGGAATATTTGTTCTTTAGTGCATTGCTAAACATACTGAACATAACAACAATAGACGTCAAGTGAATAAATGTTCGGTTTGAAGACACATCAAACCTTCATTGAATTTGGTCGTTAAATAGTGCCTAACATCACTCTTGTCTATTATATACTACTAACTGTCAATCTAACCAGTAGTCTGGATAACTCAGAATTGTATACAATTTATATGGATGTTAAGAATTTGAAATTGATATATAAGAAACCTTAAACCTAGAACAGATAAATCCATCCTGATTATACTGTAAAACGTCTTATTGACTACTTTAAACTACACTACACTTCAATAATATGCTGAGGAGTCCTGTACTAGGACAAAACAATCATCCAATCCTTCCAACTTTTTCATGGTCGTCTAGTTATAATCGATTCATGAATTCAAATATACAAAGATTTCCTTCAAATTTATTCACTGAGATTCTACAAATACATTCTTCTTTCTTAATATCTCTGTTGGGGATGTCAAATCCCCAGAACTTATTTGGTAAATGGCTTAATTTTGTAATTTTATTTTGGATAATTGAATTTCTTTGTTTTCGTGCCAACAGAGCTCTTTTCACCTTCGGGTCGAATTTCCCCCTTGTAAAATATATTAACGCTATTGGTCCATTGTTTCTTTGAGTGTGTTATTTTTTAATACTACCCAAGGACAATTCATTGCTGTACATATACGTTTGATTTTTCACCCCTTTATTGATTTCTATGCTTCTGGCTGCTAAGGAATATATATTTCCCCACTTCAAACTTGGACTTCTTACTCTAGTTAGCTGGGTCTGGGTCGCGTCAGAATAGCTAGCTTATCGGTCTCTAGTCACAAGTCTTTGTTCTGCTCGTTACCGAGAAAATCGACTTAGCTCAAGCATATCAATCTCACATCAACTTGGCTCCCGAAACTATTCGATCAGATTTACATGAAATTTCTTATATAACAAAAAGATCCATTTAAATATTAACCGTCTCATAAATTACTCCACCTGTAGCTTTTCTAGAGTTACTGCCAATTCGAAGCCCGAGTAAATGAGGAGGGTTGGGTATGATGTTAGCAACCCCAACCCATAGAAAAAATCTTGTTAAACAAATTAAACCATTTAAAGTAAGTTTCATAAATGTTTCCATTCATAATATCACTTTTCAATGTATTCAATATATTGACATTTGAAAAGCAAAAAAAAAATAACACAAAGGAAACAATTTCTATTTGGAAACATTCAATTGCCATAGCAACATACACCCCCCCACACACACACACACACGCGCACGCACATACAGAAAACGATACTAGTGAACATTGAAAGAAAGAAAAGACAAAGAAAGAATTGATTATTGATTACATTGGTTGTGATGGTGCACCTCTTGATGTGAATGCTTTAATTACAGTTGGTGCTGATGTTAATATACCTAATGTAGTAAATAAATTTAATGCAGTAAATATTAATAAACATAAACGATCTAATACACGACATGCTAAACGCCATTCATTTGATGTTTTAATTTCTTTATCTTTATTATGCATACCAGATGTAATAAATTTTAATTCATTTGAAATTTGTTTTAATTTTAATAAAATTATATCAAAATTATTTTGTTTTAATGGACTAGTACTATTTGGATCCCCACTAATTCGATTTGGAGATGAAAAGATTGTATCTTTGTTGAATGATGATGATGATGATGATGATGATGACGGCGACGACGGTGTTGGCGTTGGTGGTGGTGATGATGATGAACATTGTGATGAATCCAGTGGAGATTCACCAGATGATGATAAATGAAATCTTGGGATTGTTTTTTTGAAATATTCTAAAAATATTATATATATATATATATATATTATCAATGTTAATAAATTGTCATAGTTGAAATCATGAGTCAATTGAAGCTAGACCACCATGAAAAACCTGGGAGCACTGGACGGACGTCTCGTCCTATTATGGAACTCCTTAGTAGTGTGCATCCACGATCCTACCTCGCGAGATTCCAAACCAGGACGTACCAGTCTCGCGCCGGATCACTTAACCGATAGACCACTGAGCCGGCAGGCATCCAATGGTGTTAATGTCTAACTTCAGCCAATCCACGATGTTTGAGCAACTGTTCACCAATTGTCTTCAGTGAGTTGATATCTCTACAACAGACTTGGTTGAACTCCATTGGTAACCGCTTCTCACTAGAACTCAAGGAAATATCTCTTGAAGTCAGTCACTAGTAAGTATATGATTATAGATCAGAAGGAGTTTTGTGGAGAATTTAGTATTTTCATAGTTTAATATTAATAAATTGGTTTAATTTATATTATCTTAATTCACAAACATTATATGCAAAGATGGATGGTGGCTAGCAGTGGAATCCACGATGGGCGTTTCGTTCTATTTGGGACTTGTCAGGTGGATCCAACTGATGAGTCTTAAATAGGACGAAACGTGCTTAACTCATATAGAACTTTGTTGAAGGTCATTAATCCCTTTTTAAGACAATTAGAAAATAGAACGATAGGTTTTTTTAATTATTGATCAAATTGGATGAACACTAAAGCATTAAACCAGAGCAAATTGTACAATTACTCCATGAAGTCACTGTCAATCTGTTTAAACCGTCCTTATAGATGTAAATGTTAGGTGGTATTTAGTCGAAATCATTTACAGTGTCATAGATGTATGCAAACTTTATTTATCTTGTAAAGTAAAAATCTTCAAAACTATTCGATATCTTTCTGTATTCTGTTAAATTATTACTTCTTTTCAGATATTTATTCTTATCTCACAACGACAAATACTACTATGGTGTGGATTGCTTACATCCACATAAGTAATATATGACGGCGGTCAGCCATAGAATGTATTTCACTAGAAGATCGATTAGGAAAGAACGGAAACGAAGCGCAATCAGTATGAAAATGCATGAACAAAGAAATCACAGACGATGGACAATCGATTGATAGTATGCTGCCAAATGCCCTGGTGAGGGAGGGTTCGCTCTCCCTCTCGAAATCATCTCACATGGCCACGCGTATACAGCCTCTGCAAGGGAAGTCCAACTCACTGCCTTCTCGCACAACGGGTGTTGTTTACAAAAGTGAGAGGACGAAAACCCAATGTCCGGCAGGAGATTTAACCGGATTGCTGGACACAGAAAGTCCACCTAGAGGAGTTGGAAAACCCTGATTCCAAACCAATGGTGCACATGGGCTGACTTAAGTATCCTGAACAAACAAATGGCGTATAAACCAATCGTTTGTCACCGACTACCATGGGACTGCATCTCTTTACGATGCTCCACTGCCTTGTGGATCAGATCTTTAGGTCAAAGGCTCCGGTTGTAGTCCCCTGAGAAAACCACTTGCTTCGGTTTGGGCACCTGGGCAGAATCATATTACTCACACAATTGAATGAAATGACATATTTTTGTGTGGCGCTTATGTATCAAATACATTTTATTGTCTCCACCCGTGTTCTTGTTTACTACACAACCATAACTTCGATTCATTTACTATGCATCTTATTTATTCTCTTTTTGAATGAACTGATTAGAAACAGCGATTTGAATGTATATTCATTAACGCTAGATCACATCCTCACTCACTTACTTACTTCCTTTCTGAATGAATGAATGAATAAGTGAAAAACATTCCATAAACAAGAAGAAAAATCCTATTTACTTACTTGATTGTTCAGTTATATTTCGTTTACATGTATATTGTAATCGACTAGTTATATTTGTTCTACCATTTACTTTATCTTCTTGTATTGTAGTAGTAGTATTAGTAGGTATATTATTCAATGGTTTACCTAATAAATCAGTTGATAATCGATGAGGATGATATAAATGATTGCAATCATGATGATCCGGATCCTGATTACGATCATGATCGTGATCATCAGTGAAATAATTTTGTTCAATCCTACTTTGTAATTCAGATTTCAACTTGAATTGATTGATTAATAAAGATTTTTTCATATTACTATTATTACTATTAGTATTATTATCATGTTTTAATGTTTTATGAATTATAATTGTTGGACGAAATTCTGAATTCATATCAATGATATTTGACCAAACTGTTGGATTCCTTGGATTATTACTACTATTAATACTACTGATATTATTATTGTGAGTAGTATTGTTAGTAGTAGTATTATTATTATTATATGAATAATTCAATTGGATATAATGGCTTTTATCATCATCATCATCATCATCATCATCATATTGTTCCATTTGATAAGAATTTTCACTTGGTATTAATTTTTCTTTAGAATTTTTTAAATTTTTTTCATTTTTTTCATCCATATTATTATTAGAAGGATCAGTTAGATCATGATCAATTCGAAGAATACTTGCTAACCATGTATTAATCAATATTTCAATCTATAATTAATAATAATAATAATAATAATGAGCATAGCAACAACAACAACAAAAAAAAACTAAAAAATTTTTTTTTATGAAAACAGATTAATATTACAAAAAATCAAAGTAGTCAAGAGGTAATATCGATCTAATTGTTATGTTCACATAACAATAGTGAATGATAACTTTTAAGGACTATTTATAGACCAATAATATGATACAATGACATTGGAAGTGGATCGGACATACATTAAGGAAATCATCAATATGTATTACAAGGCAATCCTTAACATGGAATCCGGAAGGGAAGAGAAAAAGAGCAAGGTCAAAGAACGCATTACATCGGGAAATAGAAACAGATATGAAAAGAATGAATAACAACTGGAAAGAACGGGAAAAGAAGGCTCAGGACAGAGTTGAATGGAGAATACTGGTGAGTGACTTATGCTCCTCAACGAGGGGTAACAGGCGTAAGTAAGTAAAACTATGATACATATATTCTTATTGTATAATTGTTAACTAACTAAACTACTTATAGTCATGTCCCTCTTATTATGAGCCTCATTTTGACCCATAGATTATTATCATACAATTTGCCGTTCTTGAGTTATCCGCAGTCTATTAATTACTGATCCCCACATTCACAGCCACATTTGGCCGAATCTTGTACGAATGTTGTTTCCTATTTTATGGTACGATGTCATCAGTTTCATTGGTATATAAACTCAGTATGCTTAAGAATAATGATTCATATTGCAGAGGGTGTTATTGGTGTTCTCGATTTAACTGGTTGGGCTAGACAGAAAGCAGAACCGACAAGTGCTCTAGACTGCTCGTACGAGTTTCGTGTGCCAGTGGTCTGATCAATAAATCACTGTTTATCTAATTGGCTGCTATTATCAGGTTATACATTAAGAGGGCATCCAGACAGGCCACAAGTTATAACAATTAGCGTTCTCAAGATATAATAAATTCATAAGTATTCACAGTTTCATTGTTGTCTATCTTGAAATAGGAAGTAAACCGGTTAATTTTTATTAGTTGAAGACTAGACCTTCACGTTTCACATAAAATGTTTAACCATTGAACCACTACGTTTGTGTATGATGGTAAACGTTTGGAAGTTTGATCTACACGCAACAAAGTGAGGTGATCACCTAATGAAATGAGTGACTATAATTTCAATCTCAATATGGTTGAACTTCATCGGTCATTACTTCCTATTGGAACTTAAGGAACTCCTCTCGAACTTATTCATGAGCATTACTACAATATTAATGAACGGACTTTAAGACGATTGTTTTGATATTTTCACAGTTGAAATCATGAGTCAATTGAAGCTAGACCACCAGGAAGGACCTCGAAGCACTGGACGGCCGTTTCGTCATATTATGGGACTCCTCAACAGTGTGCATCCACGATCCCGCACTCTTGAGATTCAAACCCAAAATTATTATTGTTGTTTATCGTAGGAGACCTGGAGGTCCTGCGTTCTATCCAAAGTGTAGTTGTGTGTGCGTACTGATAGGGAAGTCCTACGCTATGGAGAAAGAGCTGTTCATTTCTCTGTGGTTTTCATTAACTAAAAATGATAAGTGAATCCATATTGAAAAAATACAACCAATTATTCGCAATATAGAGCCTGACACCACACTGGTACAGAGATAAAATCATCATCACAAATTCAAGAGTAGTTGCAGTATCATTGGTAGTAATGGTAGTAGTATAGCCAGAGCGAAATGTTAAGAATATCAAAGAGAAATAAAAGATATAAGGACGTTTCGGGGCTCAGGTTCTCAGAGAAGAAAAATGTTTGTGAAAGAACGAGTTTGAGCCATATTATCCAAACATTAGTTACGATAACCATACGCACCCCAACCAGATAGTCTTCAACCTCCATAACGACTCAGTTTAATTGTGAATGACTTAATAGACTGTTGACACGTTTTAGTTTGGCCACTGCTAGCTTACTCCTGTACTAAACACTGTTGTCAGTCAAGATAGGTAGTAGTTGGGAATATGTAATCTTTGTCCTAACCACTTAAGCTAATGAAGATTTCTTAGTTAGTACGTCAACAGATTAGCCATCTTTAAATAGTAGCTTTTACCCAACTTAATCAGAGGTTTTTAAGGCATATTTTATAGCGAATATTATTCAAGGATTTGAAAATTTCATAAACTTACCCACCATGGTACATAAACAATACCTCCTGTATGATGATGACAATTTAGTAAAACCACAGCGCATACCAATGAAAGTGAACAAAGGATCATTGTGCATGTGAAATATAAGACTTTTGATAATTGAACAGTTTGATTAATGTGAAATGAAAAATAGAAAATAAGAATACTTGAAGGCAAATATCAGTCAACAAAATTCTAATTAATGTGACAATTCATTTTATATTATTTGTTTAAATCTTCTCATTGATGTTCAGGACTGTGACTGATCAGTCTCTTATTGGTATGTGTGCATCATGTACAGATTGCCTCGATATTGCCTGAAGTCACAAGCTTTATAAGCAAAGATGGATAGTGGCTGGCAGTGGAATCAAGAACGCGCGTTTCGTCCTACTTTGGGACTCATCAACTGGATGTGTCTGAATCTCAGAATTGATGTCCACTCAGCAACTTGAACCCAGTACCATTCGTTTTAAATACCATCACGTTATCTACTTAGCTACTAAGTCCTGATAGCCAACGGGATGAAGTCTTGGAGTGAACATGAACTCTGGAAAGTAGGTACATCCGGCGGATGAGTCTCAAGTAGAACGAAACGCGCATCCTTGATTCCACTGATAGCCACTATCTATCTTTGCTTATAATTAATGTGATTTTTATGTCAAATCATCACTAGCCTAATAGGCTTCTTATCATAATACATATATGGTTTGTTTAATAAGTGCACGAACTAAGTTACTAAAATTTTTAGCTATGAATATAATCAAATAAACGACTAACCATATTTTACTTGAATGATCATCACCTGAAGGGCTTAAACCCTAACGGAGTCTTGAATAAACCCTATTGAGAAACTTCACATTTTGATGAAAAACCTGTCCAGTGTTTCTTATTTTTCAATGACCATTCAGATTCAAATAGTCGTTCGTGTTCGATCCATGACTCTCAGTGTAAGGATGGCTCGTTGGCGAACTCAAGGAAGCCTCGAGGAGCTCAGAAAGAGCCGAAGACATTCCGTCCAGTTACCACTAGAGGAACGCTCTAGAATGTGTAGCTTCTCTATTGGATGGATAAAAAGGACCCCTTATGTGACTATCGGCTGTCGGAAATGGTGATTTACTTTCAGCCAAAAACTATAAATACATGAGATTCCTGTACTATATTTGATACTGTGTTGGCGATAACATTCCTACTTATTAGTCTTCTGTCTTCTCTCTTGCGATGTTGCGGGTTCGAATCGTTCAAGTAGTCTAGTAGTACGCAGCATAGCAAGAATCTAAGCTCTAGATATAACACTCAGCAAATTCTTTGTTGATGTTAAGTGGCTACATTCAGATTGCAAGAAGATACTGAGGTCTAAGATTTTTGCAAGCTGATTTAATCAACAAGGGTTATTTATATTTTTTGAAGCCAGTATCATAGTGATGGATATTACAAATGAACTACCCAGGCTACGATATATCTCATGATGAATTTGAATACCAAGATTAATCTGTCACATGGGTACTAACTCATCTCATTTTAATGGTACTTCAGTCAAATCTTGCTTCCAAGCTATGAAAATCAATAGTTTTAAAATATACTCATAACTATTATAACATAAATCGTAGAAGTCTACCCGCAGTTAGTGCTGATGATGTCGTTCAGAAGGACGATGAAAGCTCCACGACCAAACTATCCAGCTCAGAGAACAAAACTCCATCGAAAAAATGACATAAATTGTCTTTAATTAATTATAATTATATATATAAATTATTAAATATTCATATAAACTAACCAAGTACAGGATTTCCTGACGATGTTTGTGGTAATTTATCAGCTACTAATTGCAACAACATTGTCAATGAAAGTAGAGTGGTAACACCTGTTGGAAAACAAAAACAAAGGCTTAGGAACAGATCAAAGTTACTTACATACTTACGCCTGTTACCCCTCGTCGAGGAGCATAGGTCGCACACCAGCATTTTCCATCCAACCCTGTCCAGGGCGATCCTTTCCAGTTCTTACCAGTTAACATTCATTCTTTACATATCTGCTTCTATTTCCCGGTATAATGTGTTCTTTGGATTTCCTCTTTTCCGCTTCCCTTCCGGATTCCAAGTTAAGGATTGAGTCGTGATGCACATTGGTGATTTCCTTAATGTATGTCCTATCCACTTCCAACATCTTTTCCTAATTTCCTCTTCAGCTGGAAGCTGGTTTGTCCTCTCCCATAAAACTCTGTTGCTGATAGTATCCGTCCAGTGAATGTTGAGTACTTTGCGCAGACAACTATTTATAAATACGTGTACCTTCTTGACGATGGATGTAGTAGTTCTCCACGTTTCAGCTCCGTACAGTAGAACTGACTATGTTGGCGTTTGTATTGAAGATTCTGACTTTGAAATTAGTTGACAGTTGTTTTGAGTTCCATATGTTCTTCAATTGTAGAAATGCTGATCTTGCTTTGCCAATCCTCACCTTTATATATGTATCAGATTCTCCTTGTTTATCAATGATGCTTCTCAGGTACGTGAATGTTTCCACCTGTTCCAGAGTTTCGCCATCAAGTGTGATTGGGTTGGTGTTCTCCATGTTGTATTTAAGAATCTTGCTTTTTCCTTATTGTATGTCGAGGTCTATTGATGCAGAGGCTACTGCTACATTAGTTGTCTTTGAATAGATCAAAGTTAGCAGATAGAAATTGTAAATGAAAACTTGAACAAAAATATGTTGAAATGCTCCAATTTTTGGATAATAAAGGCAGAATCAATCAATAAAGATACAGATATAACCGTAGTTGAGAGATCTAAATTCCAAGAAGGTAGAAGTGATAGATATGACGTCTTAAGGTCATATGGAAGTGTGAAGTACTATCATGAATAGGTGATTATGAATAAACAGTTTATTCACATAGTCAATATCACCAGTCAGTTATCTTTGTATAATCATGTCACTACCGTACATGTATACGCATAAATTGCGTAAGTAATCTTTTGGCCTTTATCAAAAGGCTTAGTACATAATTCGTGATCTTTTCACTTCCATAGCTAACTAAGTGAAGCATTAGAAAGAGTGAGATAGGAAATGAATCGTAGGGATAAATGATAGCATCAATTCATTTTTTCCATAATACACTACCATTCATGGCCATGGGAGCTTTCTGAAGAGGATTTTGAAGGACACCGTTCTATTACTATAACCCTTCACGCATGAAAATTTAATTAATTGATTTATTTTATCAAAGGAAATTAAAAGATCTTTGTGACTGACTGTTTTGTCAGGCATGATTAACATGTTTAGTATAGGATTGTAGAGATTATTATTTTTTTGATTGACATCATGAACCGATTCATGAGACTGTAGGGCCAGTGAATTGTCACTGAACCCTAGCCAAATCATCCGGTAGTTGGGTCACTAAATATCAAACAGATCATCGATCCCCGTCAAGGTCAAGGACAATCAACGCGCATCACTTAATCATACACCATGGACTGGCGCATGCGGCAGTGGTTCTACTTTTGTTTGTATCTACTTTAACTAATATATTCCTGTAATAACGTCCTTTGTGTTGTACAGTCTTCAGAGCATCCATGGAGCCTTGATACGTCGATGGGGCAATCCATGTAAGGTGCTGATCGCGAGGTGTGACTTCGAAGTTAGCTTGTTCGTTACACCGTTCCCGTTTAACTTGAGTAGGCCTCCAATCATTCGACATAGATCATCAAATTTTGATGGTCTACAAGATCACTATTGAAAACCTTGAAGTACTGAACTGCCGAAGGCCCTGGATTCGAACCTCACGATCAAGATTGTGGATGCGCACTGCTGAGGAGCCCCACAATAGGATGAAACAGTCGTCCAGTGCTTTCAAGTTTTCCTTGGTGGTCTAGCTTCAATTGACTCACGCTTTCAACTTGAACAACATTATTACTTATAAATAGTATAATTAGATAATAGTTCATAAATATATTTACTGTATACTCTTTTCTCATTTATTTCTCACTTACCTAATACAATTTTCTCATTTGCTTCAGGTGGTAAAGTGAATACAAGTAATGCCATCATTGACATTATCATACATGGTATAATAATATTGAACATATAATATAATGCACGACGTTGCATATAAACATAAATAGTAACATCAATGTATGTTTGATCTTCACCTCCATAAGTTTGTATATTACGTTTAATGGAAGCACCTAAATGGTTGGTTTATTGGATTTGATTATGGAAAACAAAATTAAATATGGAAATATTTTGGTAAGTATGTTACATAATGTAAATATTAGAATTTGGTTAGATTTTAAACAGCGGCTAGTCGAGGAATCTCCAATAAATCTGTCATACTTTATATGACAATTCAGCTGGATATGTCTATGTCTCTTAATTCGTATAGAATAGATAGAATATGACTAGCTATGGTATTCAGTTAGTTAGTCAGTCAGTCAGTTACAACGTAGAACTAGGTACATATATACATCGGTCCAAGTTGCCATACCTCATTAGCACAACAAGGTGAACACCGGATTCATAGAAGTAGTTAATTTAGTGGTGGTAATATATAAAAGAAAGATTGTATATAAGGATATAGTATAGGAAGAAAGACAGATATGAAGCAATTTTAATTTCAACGTTTAAGAGAAGACAGATAGTGTATACACCTACGCCATTGTGATCGATTCTGAGACATGTCACCTAGAGTCTCCAACCATTGGTTACGATAGTCACCTAAGGTATTCAGGATACATGTTTCATTTTATTTAGGAATTGTCAGCTGGGAAATATCAACAACGAGATAATCCTGAGATCCATTTCAAAATGAATTACATATATAGTGAATAAAGACCAAGTTACTTACTTACTTACGTCTGTTACTCCCAATCGAGCATAGGCCGCCGACCAGCATTCTCCAACCCATTCTGTCCTAGGCCTTCCTTTCTAGTTCTATCCATTTTTTGTCCATTCTTCTCATGTCTGTTTCCGTTTCTCGGCGTAATGTGTTCTTTGGTCTTCCTCGTCTCCTTTGACCTTCAGGATTCCATGTAAGGGCTTGTCTTGTAACACAATCGGGTGATTTTCTGAAAGTGTGCCCAATCCACTCCCAGCGCTTCTTCCTGATTTCTTCCTCCGCTAGAATCTGGTTTGTTCTCTCCCACAGTAATTTGTTGCTGATTGTGTCTGGCCATCGGATCCGAAGTATCTTGCGTAGACAGCTGTTAATAAACACTTGTATCTTCTAGATAATGGCTTTCGTAGTTCTCCACGTCTCCGCCCCATACAGTAGGACTGTCTTGACATTTGTATTGAAAATTCTAACCTTGGTGTTGGTTGACAATTGTTTTGAGCTCCAGATGTTTTTCAGTTGTAAGTATGCTGCTCTTGCTTTGCCGATCTGATTCACCGTTTTCATCAAAGACTCAGTTAGCCAAAACCAATTTATTCTTTAGTGCAAAATTACAGAAGGTCTCTGTACAGTATAAAAACCATACATTAAATACATCATCTCTATATCTTTCATCAGTTCTCTCTTACATGCTTCATCGTTCCTTTATTCCAGTTGCTATTACAAATGATCTGTTTTCTTTTCTGTCCTCTTCAATTCTATCTTGTCAATCATTTGCTGCCAGACATTACACTTCTGGCTGATGTCGCATGCTACTTATATTTGTCAACATAAGTAGCGTAAGTAGCATGGACGCAAGGGGGTAACAGGTGTAAGCGAGTAAAAAATTAAGTAAGTAAGTAACCTTAAATTCTATAGTTAAGATATTTGATTAACCCAGTTCATTTATTTATCAAACATTATCATATATATAAAAACTGATTCAATCATAATTGACTTACTTTCTAAAGCCCATTCACTATGAGCTAAATAAGCAGATAAATCAACATCATTCATATAATGACATGGTTGATCTACATCTTCAGTTTCATTATCACATTGTAATTTTAAATCTACTGTATTTCCTTGATAAGTCCATGTTCCAAGTTTCAGTATACAATTCTAGATGATGATGATGATGATGATGATGATGATGATGATAACAGTGATAATGGTGATAACAATAATAGGAATAATAATAAACAAAAATATTGGTTCAATCAGAATATCAGTATAGGGTTGTAGAGATTGTTAAGTTTTGAATGAGATCACGATTGGATCATTGTTAGACTATCATTGAAAACCTGGACCGAAGGTCCTGGGCTCAAAACCCACATGCGGGATCGTGAATATGCACTGCTCAGGAGTCTCATACTACGACGAAACGTCCATCCATTGCTTCCAGGTTTTCAATGGTGGTCTAACACTGATCTCAGTCGAAATCGGAATATGATATTTGAAAGCGTTATACTATAGTCGAGTTTTGTTGAACAATAGAATCTAGAACAAATATTTCTTTTCTCAGAGAGATAGTTTTTTGATTAAGTGTTACACTTTACCAATCTCACCGCTGAACATGAATATCAACCGATAATCTTAATGTTATGTTCATATGCAGGATTAATTATACCACGTGATACGACCATCAATTAGAGACGCTAACTTATACGACCAGACTAATGATTCATAAACCTGTACTAGCCGCTTAGAGTTCTTATTGGTTCACCAAGAATAATAGCTTCTTTCTTAACCCAGCTGGTTTAGTCGAGAACCCAAAATCAACCTAACTCCGCCTATAGCTCCTCCGGGGGCTACTGCCGGTCCCAAGCCCAGGCAAAGGAGTAGGGTTGGGCATGGGGTTAGCAACCCCATCCCGTAGAAAACCAACTCCTTAAGAAAAAGTTATTCAAACCTAATATCAACCTCCACGATACGAATCGTATACATTTCAAACATACTCAGTTTATATACAAACAAACAAACTAGACCGTATCATATCATAGAATAGAAAATAACAGTAGTACAAGATCAAGCCCAAAAGTGGTTGTAGGTGTGGGAGACAATGTAGCTAATAAATTGAGAATAACTCAGGTATAGTAAATCGTATAGTAGTAGCCGACAGATTGAATGAAACCTTATAATGAAAGGAATATGAATATACATAGAATATAGTCTATAAATGGATCCTAGTAGTTGCCATTCGTTTATCCTTTGTTAGAATATAAGATAATAGAAATACATGGATATAAGAGAAAATCTGAAATTTCTGAAAGCATTTTTAAGGAAAATTAATTTGTCTACATTTGCATGTGGGTGTGCGTCTCGCTCTGGCTCGAAACTGGTAGGCCCTGGGTTCGAATCTCGAGAGACGAGGTCGTGGATGCGCACTGCTGAGGAGTGCCACAATGGGACGAAATGGTCGTCCAGTGTTTCCAAGTTTTCCCTGGTGGTCTAGCTTCAATTGACTCATTCTTTCAACTATGAAAATACTGAAATCTCCACAAAAACCCCTTCTGAAAATAATTTAGTCCTAATAGTTAGCTAACTTTTGACCTCATTTATCATTTCTGTATCCTTAATAGTTCAGAAATTACAGTTAATTAATCATCAATGACAAATACACTACAATTATGTAATTAGTTGTGATATGTTGCGGTCATCTGTTTTCCTCGTATAATAACCATATTAGTTAACATTTTCATTGATACAAACCATGCTTCGGTTTGGGCACCCGGGCAGTATCGTGGCCCTCAGATAAATCAAATGAGATTTTTCAAGGCGCATATATATCTGGTGTCTCTTTGTACCAATATCTATTATTCGGTTCACTAATGTTTGGATTTGTAGTTTGTGAATGGAAGAATTTGATGTTACGAAGACGGTTTCACATTCAGTGGATTCAATTTCATCAATAAAGAATTTGGATATCTGTGAGAATGTTTTTCATATAATGAGGGATCCTACGAAACATGACTAAGTTACACTGATTGATTATTGAGTAGTGACCAATGTTATGTTGATAGGTGAGACTATAATTTATGGACGAGTCAATCAGAAGAGTCTGAGAGATTTCAAGGTCACGGCGCCAGTTTCAGTACCTGATGCTCATGTACGATCGGTTCACAAAGGATTTTAAAGAAGACTTAACAATTAAGCGGCTACAACAAATAAGACTACTAAGAAGTTCCTTTATTTGTAATTGCGGGTATTAAATGACTTGCAAACTTTATGCAGAATACCGTGATGTTAACCTTCGATGTAATATATGTTGGAGGAAGACGTTTGCTAGAATAGAGACCTTTATCATTCGATCCAGATTGAGACTACGGCATATTATAATAATTGCCACCAGCTTTATTATAAAAGCACCAATAACATTGAATTCAATATTCGCAGATGTTAATGAAGCTTCGGCTGTTCAATGGTATGAGTATTGAAGGGACATATCCATAATAAACATGATAAACTTACACAACCGGAGTACATACAAACAATATAGAAGCTAAGTAGTCGATGCTGAGTGGGTTTTTGTGACCTTATCATAGCTCCAGAGACCAACTATTATGGAGCCATATGGATGAGTTCCTCTACCTTATGCATTACGATTTTGGAACCTTTGAACTTTTTTCTAACCTTGACAAGTTTTTGGACTATATGAAAGAAATGTATCCACTTTAATTCTTTGGTTTTGTATGATATATTTTTACTTTATACTGACTGTTTACTGATTGGTTAACATTTCTCAAGGTCCAATTAGATTCGTTCAAAGGTCGTCCATAAATTATAGTCTCGCCATGTTGTTCTAGTCCTTAGAGGGGATCAACTTCTACATATCAAGCTAACTATCTTGTAATTACCTGAATCACAATTTGATATTAGAGTGTTTTGGATAGTCAGAGGGTAAATGTAGATCTAAATTTTGTGCTGGTTAACATTCATCAGCATGTCCTACTTAGAATCTTAATGGAACTGATTCACTCTGTAGTGCTGAAATCCATATAATCAAGTTTCACATTTTGAAACACTTCACATCCATTAACCCGGTTAAAGCGCCGGACATTGCTTTTTCGTTCTTTCAATTTCGTAAACAACAGTAATGCTGTGAGAAGGCAGTGAGTAGGACTTCCCTGACAGAGGCTATATACGCGTGACCATGTGAGAGCATTTGGAGAGGGAGAGCGGACTCTCCCCACTCTAGGCCATACCAGGGCATTTGAATACAATACACCAGGGATGATCTTATATTTGACTTCCTTTTTCAATTTTAATCAACGAACAATCATTCCTTGTTGATATGTATTGATACCACTGTTCAATTTAACACAGAGATCTATGAGTAAATAAGAAGTTCAAATATAAATACCGTGGATTATAAACATATTCGTATTGTAGCTCATTTACTAAATACTGGGTCTACTGTGTGACTAATGAAAGTAAGATGAGATTAGCTCTTGAGTGTGGACTGATAGAAATTCAGCTTAATAGTTATTCAATATGTGATTTACACCATTGAGTCATTCATTGAATGTAGGTTACTTGTAGTTTTCAATGGTGGTCTAGCATTGATCAGTTCATGATTTCAGTGAGATCCAACAATCTCCACAACTTATACTGATGTTAACAACTGCGCTGAATAAAGTATTGTCTAGTATATACTCTAGATCTCTACTTTTATTTACGAATTGTGTATCTGATATGACGTGATCCCAGTCAATGTATAGCACATTTATGGAGTATCCAGTTTAGTAATGTAATCTTGTATTATCGTACAACATGGCAAACAGAAAAATAAACTCTCGTTCTACTAATAGCTCAAGTTCTGAGTATCGCTGCTTATGTAACAACTAGTGATAGTAGGTAACTGCACAAATCAAAGACTGTGGAGCAGAATTCGAATTTTGAGTCAATTGATTAAATGACAAATGATCATACTATTAAACCATTGCTTACTAGTACTTCTGAAATGAATCTAGTAAATAAACGGTCAATTCCTAAAGTATGAGTACATAAATAAACAGATATATATATATATATATATATATATATATATATATATAAAGATAGATAGTGGCTAGCAGTGGAATCTAGGACGCGCATTTCATCCAATTTGGGACTCGTCAGCTGGATGTACCTGCATATCAGAGTTGATGTTCACTCTGGGACTCGAGCCCAGTGCCGTCCGCTTCAAACGCTATAACGTTATCCACTTAGCTACTGAGTCCTGCACGTATGCCAACAAGAGACTAATCAATTGCAGTCCAAAATAACAATGGGGAGATACAACAACAGTAAGTGAATAAAAATTAACCCCATTGCACAAGCAGGTGGCTATCAGGATTCAATAGCTAAGTAGATAAAGCGATAGTGTTTAAAGCGAACGGTACTGGGTTCGAGTCTCAGAGTGAACATCAACTAGTTTGGGATGCAGGTACATCCAGCTGAAGAGTCCCAAATAGGACGAAACGCGCGTCCTGGATTCCACTGCTAGCTACTATCTATCTTTGCTCATAAACGGTCAGTTCCCAAAGTATGAATACATAAATAAACACAAACATATATATACATTCATTACTAACCTGTGAATCAAATGGAAACCAATTCACTTCAATATCACAAATAGAATGAAATAAACCAGGTGGTACCCATTGAATATGTCCATTATTTCTAACAATTACTTTAGTTGGAAAAATTTGATCAAATTTTTCGCTAGCACTAAAACAATAAGTTATAAATAAGAAATGATGATTATTCATTAGTGAAGATTTTCACCGATGAAATTTATTGAATAGCTTGTATTTCATGAGATTAGAGCTTTCCTAATCTAAGTTTATTCCTAATCAATGCCAATTGTTTTTGACAGATAAAGCTAAAGTGTATGTTATGCTGTAAGTTACTGTGGGAGACAACAAACCAGATTCTAGCCGCAGAAGAAATCAGGAAGAGGAGCTGGGAATGGATAGGGCACACTTTGAGGAAATCACCCAATTGCGTCACAAGACAAACCCAAACACCATCCAGACTTTCATGCGGCAACCTAAACAGTACAGCTCATTCCCGTGTAACAGGAGAGCCCGATACTGTCCAGGATTAACCCAAGCAGTACAGCCCAATCTCGCTCTATAGGAGAATCAGACACTATATAAGCTTCAACACTACAATTCGAACAGTACAGCCCAATCCTGTGGCGCAACAACAGTGAAATGAATACTTAAGTGAAAGCTACTAGACCTTATGTGTTTTACATATCAATAATAACAAAAAATTTCAATATTCCTTCTATTTATGGTGGAGAGAATTGGTAGCTCAGGTGGATGATTTTAATGGAGTTTCGTTCTCTGAGCTGGATGAATGTATGCGGACAACTGCGGCCACACATTCAACTGGGAAAAATGTGGAGATTTTGGATAGAGGCAATTCCAGAAATACCAGAAAATTTTTAGAAGTTTGGAACTCAGGTTAATCAGCAATAAACAAGCACATTGAAATCAATCCAATTTATTAACCAATCAGGAAAATTAGGAACAAATATCAAACTAATGGAAGTTATAACCAAAACAAAGGTCAACAAGAACCAATCATTATGGAGGTGTACAGGACAAGCTGTGAACCACATGTGGAGAAATCCGAACACTTCACTTCTATACAAAGTTTCTGCTGATGATGTTGTTCAGAAGAACAATGAAAGCTTCACGACCGAACCATCCAGCTCAGAGAATAAACCTCTATCGAAATTCCCTCTATTTAGCTTGAATATGACATTATCAAAGAGTATAATGTTGTAGGGTAGATATAGGATATCAAAGATAATTTTTCACTTACCTATTGTATAATAGAATATCTGGTTTCCATATTCTCTCTGGTGGTAAATTAATCTGTCTAATATTCTCATAATCACTTGCATTCCAATGAAAATGATAATCTGACCATTTCTAAAATGAAATAGGAAAGAAAGAAATTGATTCTGACCAGTTTGATGGAGATTATGTAATGCCAATGATGTATGCCAACTTTAATTCTTACAGTTATATCCAAAAAAAAATGATTGACTTATTTTCCCCGCAGAAATGAAAGATGATACAATGGATCTAATAGGACCATCGGCAGAATGTTAAGCGCGCTCGAGTGACTAAGATATAACTTTCTTTTCGCGTCTGTGAGTGAACATCAACTCTTGGATTCAGATACATTTAGTCGATGAGTTTCAAATAAGGACGAAACCTAAGTCATGTATTCCACTGATAGCAACCATCCATCTCTACTAATCATAATAATAGCTTTATTCGTTACGAGAAATTTATTTACCGTAATGAATTCTTAGCATCATTTGTTTAAGATACATTCACCACTATGTAACAAATGCAAGCCCAAATATCAACATTGGGAAAGTAGAAAACTATTATACTAAATAGTCTCAGAAAATTATAGTAAATTCATAAGCGCAATTCAAATCTATCCTTCAATTTGTTACTTACTTGAATACCTACGTCTTTTACCTCCCGTGGAGGAGCATAAACCGACCACCAGCATTCTCCATCCAACTGTGTTCTGCGCAATCCTTTCCAGTTCTTTCCGATTGTTATTCATCTTTTTTATATCTGCTTCTGTTTCCCAACGTAATGTGTTCTTTGGCCTTCCTCTTTTCTGATTCCCTTCAGGATTCCAAGTTAGGGCTTGCCTCGCAATGCAGTTTGGTGATTTCCTTAATGTATGTCCGATACACCTCCAACGTATTTTCCTAATCTCTTCTTCATCTGGAAACTGGTTTCTTCTCTCCCATAGTAGGCTGTTATTGATAGTATCCAGTGAACGAATATTGAGTATCTGACGAAGGCAATTGTTTATAAATACATGTTCACTTTTGGTGATGGTTGTAGTAGTAGTTCTCCTCGTTTCAGCTCCGTACTATAGAAGTAACTGTCTTGACATTCGTATTGAAGATTGTGACTTTGATGTTAGTTGACAGATAGTTGTTTTGAGTTGTATATGTTGTTCAATTGTGGGAAAACTGCCCATAACTTGCCAATCCTGGCCTTCACGTATCTTCCTCGTTCATTGATGACGATCCTCAAGTATGTGAAAACTTCCACCTCTTCTAGAATTTCTCCACCAAGTGTAATTGGGTTGGTGTTCTCCGTGTTGTATTAAAAAGATTTTAGCATTTCCCTTGTGTATTCTGAGACGTACTAGTGCAGAGACTGCTGCTACACTAATCGTCTTTATCTGCATTTGTTTTGGTGTATGGGATGGAAGAGTCAGATCATCTGAGAAGTCAAAACCGTCTAATTGATCCCTAGTTTTCCATTGTATTCTGTGCTTTCTCTCAGGTGTAGCGGTCTTCATAATCCAGTCAACCACCAGAAGAGAAGGGGGGAGAGTAAGCATTCTTTTCTGACTCCCGTCCTCACTTGGACCGTATCTGTGAGCTGTCCTCCCTGCACCACTTTACAGTTTAGTCCGACGTATGAATTCTGCACTTCATGGTATCGAAGAAGGTTCCATAAGGTTCTCCTATTCACTCTGTCAAACGCCTTCCCATAGTCAATGAAGTCGATATATAATGACGTATTCCATTCAATTGATTGTTAAACAATAATCCATAATGTCGCGATTTGGTCCGCGCAGGATTGATCCCTGCGAAATCCGGTTTGTTGATCTCAAAGTTGGGTATCTACTGAATCTTTCATCCGGTTCAGCAACATTCTGTTGAAAACTTTTCCTGGTACTGACAGTTGTGTGATGCCTCTGTAGTGTTCACACTTGCTCAGATCTCCGTTCTTTGTTATCTTGGAGAGGTATCCTTATTTCCAGTCTGTCAGCGCTTGTTTCTCCTCCAAAATCTTCCTGAATAGAACATGGAGCATCTTTGCTGTTTTTTCTATGTCTGACTTCAATGCTTTGGCTGTTGTATTGTTGGGTCCTGGTGCTTTTATACTCTTTATTTGTCTGATCACAATGATTTCTTTGATCTTTGGTGGAATGACATCTATAGGAAGCTCTGTGTTCTGCTTCATTCTAAATTACAATTCTCCATTATATCATCATGCTAATCATAAAAGGATTCAACAGATTAAAATCCGCAGTATGTCTTTAGTACAGTCA